GCCAGCGCTGGGAGCTGCCGGGAAGGGACATGGGAGGTGGACAGAGCAACGGGGATGGGGGAGCAAACTCCGTCAAGGCACTTAAATGGGAGCTGCTTCAGGGCAGAGACTGTGGCTTTTTGTGGGGGGAGTTCAGGACTAGAAAATAGGGAAGAGGAAAGTCCGTCTGGAGTGGGGACAGGGAGGACTCCCATCCAGAGGACCTGCTCCTACCCTGGCCCAGATTTCCTTTCATTCTGAAACTGCCTCTGTCCCTGGTCTACTCTGCTCCATCCATGTGGACCTGCTCCCACTCCCTCCATAGAAAAATGGCAGAATAAAGACCCTCCCTGGATTCGAGGTCTAAAAAGGACAGAAATCCCTGAATATTGTCACGTATATTAGTGTAGTGCCTATCATCCCTGCCAGGAACCCTGTACCCCCACTTTATTCATAGCTGCATGAACAGAGAACAAAGCGGAGAGTACTTGCCCCAAAGAGTTCTCAATCTGAAGCAGTCTGAGCGCAGGATTCAGTCTAATCTTTGGCCGGTTTTCTCCCATTGTCTTGCTGATGCCCTCTGCCCTATCTGTGTTAACTGCTTTTCTGATTATAACTCTGCCAGGTCAGGTGTCAAAATACAGGTAGTGTATTTCCTCTTCATCACTTCTTGCTGCTGGACCAAAGGGTGCATATGTTGACAAAGCATCATTAGCATTTAGAATTTATCACTCCTGGCCAGCCAAGAAATTATCAAAGAGGGAATCCCCCTGATAGGCTGGGATGAAAAGAGTGATACATTTGTGGTAAGATTTTGTTGTAATAGCTAATGAACTGTATGAATTACAGTGGCATTTTTCTGGGAAAGCAGCAGGTAAAATAATAGATACATAATAGGAGGAAAAGAGCATATGTCCTAGCTTTACTTTCTGATGTAGAATCCTAATTATTTATCTATTTATTCCTATGCCCGAAGAGTCCCTGCAAGGAGAGTTCCAAAGGAAGCTTTACAAGGAGCTGCTGAAAAATTACAACCCTCTGGAGCGACCAGTTGCAAATGATTCCCAGCCGCTCACTGTGTATTTCACTCTCAGCCTCATGCAGATCATGGATGTGGTGAGTCTGTAACTTCTAGGAAACTATTTCTTTAAAAGGGTGGATTTTTCCTTCCTAGAATGGAGATTTGTGATAGCAAAAGAAGACTGCAAGATATTGCAAAGCACAAATAATTCAAGACACAATGCCAAATTTTGACTGCCTTTTTAAAGAAGTAAACTTAAAAGTAAAGTTTGCCTCTTTCTTAGATCTCTTGTCAGTATTTCCCAACCTTCTTAGCAGTATGAAAAATTTGAAGTGAAGCTCAAACTGCATACTTTGCCTTTTGAATCCTTAACTGTACTTAGAACCAACAAGAAGTGTAGTGGGGGGGATATGCAAAACCAAAGTTCTTGATTTCTGGTGGTCACTAAAGAGCTTCTTATTTTTGGAGATCGGCGGGAGAGGAAGGGGGTGTCCTGGCCAAAATCCAAGTTATATTATTTATCTTGTTTAGACAGGATTGCTACATTCTATGTGCTTAAATTTTAGCTGCTCTATTTGCAACCACAGTTATTTGGTATATCAATAGATACTCCTGTGCAGTGCTTGGCAGGCTTGTAAAAGGCACTTGAGTTGTAGCTATAGATTCTGTATATCTCTGGTTTTAATTATATTTTTACCTTTGGTAGTAATCATAGAATCATAGAATAGTTTGGATTGGAAGGGACCTTTAAAGGTCATCTAGACCAATCCCCCTGCCGTGGGCAGGGACATCTTCAACCAGATCAGGTTGCTCAGAGCCCCGTCCAACCTGACCCTGAATGTTTCCAGGGATGGGGCATCTACCACCTCTCTGGGCAACCTGTGCCAGTGTTTTACCACCTCATCGTAAAAAATTTCTTCCTTATAGCTAGCCTAAATCTACCCTCTTTTAGTTTAAAACCATTCTCCCTTGTCCTGCTGCAACAGGCCCTGCTAAAAAGTCTGTCCCCATCTTTCCTGTAAGCCCCCTTTAAATTCTGAAAAGCCGCAATAAGGTCTCCCCGAAGCCTTCTCTTGTCCAGGCTGAACAACCCCAGCTCTCTCTGCCTTTCTTCACAGGAGAGGCATTCCACCCCCCTGATCGTTTTTGTGGCCCTCCTGCTCCTCTGGACTCGCTCCAACAGGTCCATATCTTTCTTGTGCTGAGGGCTCCAGAGCTAGAGACATAGGCGAGTATGTTCAGGAAAGCTTACCCAGTCTGTTCAAGGCCTGTTCAAACTGAGCACCTGAATAAAACTCCACATTTTAATGTATCTCTGCAGAACTCAGCACGATACATGGTTCTTTAACTGAATCTTAAACCAGGCTTCAATAAAACCCCTTCCCAACCATGGACTTAAATTTCCAAGGCCTTCTTCTGCAGCTCCCTTTTGGGAAATGACCTCCTGCTGCAGTATGTGCCTTCTCACAGCTACGGGAGGAACTTTTGCTTTAGTACAGGACCGTACAGTTCCCTTCAAAGGATTTTTGTACAACTCTTTCTGTTCAACTGTGTGTTCAGGAAATATTTCTCTAGCGCTTGGCTTATTTTGATAACCAGGATAAAAACCCTGATGCTGTGGGGTTTTTGTTGTTTGTTTGTTTTGTTGCTGTTAGCACTATACTACGTACAATTTATTTCAGAATTATTGCAGAACAGGAGAGCTCGAAAAAACACTTTGATCCAAAATAAAACAGGGCTGTAAACAGACCAATTTTTTCCCTGGCTTTCAGAAATTGCACTTCTGGTGTCATTCTATATAGACGTATTTGGCCTGAATATGTTAAGCTAACATGTTTTTAAGTATTAACCATCCTGGGAAAAGGTTTGTTGTATGGCCAAACCCTGCTAGTGATGACACAGCTTACAGAAGCCTTCTTTACGTCATTAAAAACGTTTCCTGAATAGAATAAGCTGAATGCTCACGAGACTCTTCTCCTACTTAAATTGCATCTATACTATAATATTTCCTTTCCATTTCTCTGAGTTAATAGTGGGGCTCTCTCTTCCCCACACTCCTGACATGGCTATAACCATGACCTTGACTACTGTATGAACAGTTGGCTATTGGAGACACAAATGGCTAAAGGCCAGCAGGCAGTCAACTTCACAGAGTTAATTTCTTCTGGAGTTGTCAAGTTTAATTAAAAACCATACAAACTGAAGGGCAAATATCCACAGATCACTAGCCAGTCTGGGTATAGTCAATGACTTGGCAGTATTGGCTAATATGATTCAAAAGGGAGTTCTTGATTCTATGTGCCTTTCAAAAAAATCCCTTCATATCCCCTCAGTAAGAAGCCATAGTTTTTGTATTGGCAGTTTAGTTACAGCTTATTCTGCTTGCTATAAAACTGACTGCATTTCTTTCTCAGAGATCTGGGATTGACAGGCAAAGAAAGAAACCAACCATGAAGTAAATTAAGCTTCACACTATAAAACAAATGAGTATTCTTCATTGTCAACAAGAAGCAAATGCTGGTGAGAATGACATCTACTTGCAATAACAATTACTGGTTTAACAAGCTAGAAACAAAATATGTCACCATCATACTTTCCTTTAGTTTATATATTCACTTTAATGGCTTCTCAGCTGATACAGGCTGTACAGGCTGGAGTTAGGCCTATCCAGAGCAGATCTGTCAAATCCCTGCCAGAACAGATTGAGCCAGGCTGGGTCCTGGCTGCTGCCATTCCTTACTTGGAGTCTCTTCCATTCCACTCTGACTTTGCTGACAGGAAAGGGGAGACAGTATGAAACCTTTTCCAAATACAATGGATGTTTCCTACCTTATATTTTTAGTTTAACCCTTTCTTTCTAAAACTGGCAATTATTTTTATTCTATGCTTGCAGATATGTTTTTCTTTTTATTGGTATTACATGTTAATATGCTAGTATCAGGACTGCATAATGAGAGACCTGTAAGTGCTGATTGCCCCAACTTAGTTGAGTCTGCTATAAAATAGAGTGAATGAACTGTCTAATGAGAATGCAAGCTGGCATAGTAAATTATACAAAGAGTTGCTAAATGGGGAGGGAAAACAGTGGCAGCATAAGAAAAATGCAGTTTGGGGACACATGAATGAAGAGGAGAGCTAGGAAACTGGGAGAGTGCTTAGAGAAGTGGGAAAGCATGGTAGACCTGAGAGACAGCAAAGGAGTTTGGAAGAAAAGTGGAATTTAGATGGAAGAGGATGGGGGGCAAAATGGAAAGAAAGAGGTTTGAAAGGAGTGGATTTTAAAAAAGCTTCTGAGTCAAGTTAATGAGAACTTTCAAGAGGGAGATCCTAGGTATCTTTCAGTTTGCTTTATTCCTATATTCCTTAATAGAAAAATAACTGCTCTTAAACCTTTGCAAACAATCTTGCAATTAAATCATCCTGAAGTGAAAACGAAGTGGAGACAGCCAACTGGCCACAAGTGCTCTTCAAGGACATTTGAGTTATTATAATAGCAGAAGATAGAATAAGAGGTTTCTTTTGCTTTTTATAATTATTTGTTTCAATTTTCTTGAAATGAGAAATGCCAAGCAATTTGATGAAAGAAATTAAAAATAACCTACTTCCTCTCTGATTTGCTGAAATCTTGTTTCAAAACTCCTTGCAGGAAAGCAATGTATATTGAACAAATAGGCTGATAATAAACATCTCCCTGGATCTGAATCAGAAAATGTTTGGAAATATCTGACTTAAGAAAACTAAACAGAATTTAAGCATAAGCACAGCAGGAAAATCTTAGACAAATACTAAGGGTATCTGCATACCTTAGTGGCAGGAGAGGAAGAGGGGTTAATGGATGGTCATAGTTGGTCAAGGTCACAGCTTTACTACAATGTCAAAAAAATGTAGAGAAACTATTTATTTTTCTCTATGTCTCACTTCATGGAAACCCCACTACCTGCACAAAAAGCTAGTCTTTGGCCTCTACCTGTTTTGGTATGGCATATGAACCTAACTTGGGCATAGGAAAAACTTCCAGCATATGCATTTTTGAGAAACAGATTCTTGAAATACGCTGGTATTATATAATTTCCACACTGGATAAAATGACAGCCACCACTTTTTTAAACACCCTACACCTTCTAACACCTTCTAACATTCTTATTTTCTCTTGTAACATCCATCCCAATAATAGCATCAGAGGAGAATCCGGCCGCTACCTATTGGTTTAGAGCGAACACTAGGAATAGACACAGCAGCAGTGCTGTTCCTACTCTGCTACATCTCATGCAGAATAGTGAATGGCATAGAAAAACAAATAGAGTCATCATGAAGGTATTAATTTTGTGCCTAGACTGACATTTTTACAATAGATATATTTGTATCTACTCTAAGTTAACACAATTAAGAGAAACGTATCTGAAGGAATTCCATCCCTAAGAGTCAGAAGATGAAACCTTAGAAATTAATGCAAAATGATCATACATTTACACTGCAAATTACTGCTTAGAGACACAGACATGAAGAACTGGAGTACATTGAGATACACAGTGATAGTTCAAACTCAGTGTTTACTATCTAAACAAGTAGAAGAATCCTACAGTATTATTTTAGTTTGGAAGGGGCTTCCAGAGGTCATCTAGTCCACCCTCCTGCTCCCAATATGTCTATCACGTTACTCAGGACTGTGTCCCGTCAAGTACTGAACACTTCTATGGAGAGAGAGTCCACAACTTCTGTGGGCAACCTGTTTCACTATTCAACTATCATCATGGTAGACTTGTTTTCCTAACATCTAAGCAGAACTTCCCATGTTCCAACTCGGGAACAACACAAAAAAACACTTCTAGAAACCTGAGGCAAAGTTTCTTCAACAAAATTGCATATATGGCATAAAGATACTTTTGGTGAAGTATACCAGATTTCTTGACTATTTGCAGCAATGTATGTATTTTGACTTTAATAAAGCCTTCTTGAATAACATTCTTAGCAGAAAACTAGAGAATAAGACCTTTGTAAACCCACATGGCAGAACTGGTTAGAAAATCTTAGAGTAGTTGTCAATGGTTCACTGTCAAAATAGTGAGATTTAGTTATATGGTGAGATTCCCCAGGA